CCCAGCAGATTCCTATGATATGTCACAAATGAGTAGTTCGTTTTCTACAGTGTCCATCATCATGGTGCGTCAGGGCCCACTTCCCATGAACCGACCTTGACTTTTAGGGACAGAGGGTTGTGATGAAAGTGAGAAGTGTCATTCTCCCCCTCTGTGACAGGCACAGCTACCAACCAGCAGAGCTGCAGGTGAGTGTCTCCATCATCTCAATCAGAGGATAATGACTCCCCTTCTGGGGCTGTCATTTCTCACTTCTGAGTCACATGGCAGGGGGCCACTGCCCTTGGTTCTCTATTGTGGCACTTCGGATTGTGCTAGCTTGTGTAACAAATAGATCCCAACACATATGAATCAGCCTAGCAGAGCCTATTTCTTATGTTTTATTACATTTGGGCGGCCATAACCAAATATCATAGACCAAGTGGCTTAGAAAGAACAGAAGTTTATTTCTCACAGTTCCAGAGTCTGCGAAGTACCGATGGGAAGGCATCGGCAGATTTGCTGTCTGGTGAAGCCTTGCTTTGTGGTTACAGATGGCACCTTCTACCTGTGTCCTCACATGGTGGGAGGGGGGAAAGAAGCTCCCTGGAACCTATTTTATATGGGCACTAATCCGTTCACGAGGGGTCCACCCTCATGACCTAATCATTTTCCAGAATGCCCCACCTCCTAATGCCATCACCTTGGAGGTTAGGATTCCAGCATATGCCTTTGGGGATGACACACACATTCAGACCATAGCACTCACCTGCCAGTCCTAGGCAGGTCTTGAGGCCAGAGGAGGGGGTCTCTTCCATGTGATCATTCCGGGTCCCAGGCTTTGCCCTCTGTATCTCCTCTGGGGTCTTGCTGGCATCTGCATGTAGCCAGTGGAATGGGAGAGAGATCCTGGAAGAAACACGCCCATTTCCTAAAAGATTTGACTCAGACATGGTGCAAATCACTTCTTTTCACGTGCTGTTCATGACAACCAGCCCCACAGCCACATCTGGCTACAAGAGAGAGTGGGAAATACGGTGTATCCCTGTGCCTGGCCACATTCCTATTACTGTGGAAGGAGAAAACAGATGAGAGCAGCCAGCCAGCAGAACGTGCCACATGTCCACCTACCGCACAGCCATGCAGGGGACAGGTGGTGTTCTGCCTCCCCACGGGCTCACTTTCCTTCGCCCTTCTGCTCCCACAAGAAGGTGTGCTGGATTCCAGACCTCCATGTACCAATCTCTGTCACCCACTCCCAGCTGTT